TTGGCGGGTTCTTGAATGTTCTGGAAGCGAATTATTGTTTTCTCAGTTTATATGTCATAAAGAGGGGACATCACTTAGTTTCGCTAAAGCTGGACATTACGGATACAACATCTCAAAACCTTACTGGCCGGTTAGTAAGAGAGGTTTTTCATTTGCGATTTGCGATGAAAAAAGGGGTTTTTTTAACTTTAAAGATTTGTTTTTTAAGTTACACTGATATATTGATTTAACTGTACAGTGCGCGAAATAAGTCACCGACCAGCCTTTTTATCCTATTTTTCTCACTTATAAATGGTTTTCTAACACCAACTTGACTATAAAAACGTTGTTCATGAAGGTACTTACTTAAAGTTTTTTACTGATATTTTTTGTGGTTGAACTGGTAAAATCTTCACATAGTTCTTCAAGATTTAATTTTCTGTCTTTTGTCATCATTGGTGATCTGCCAATTCTATGAGGTGGAACTTCATATCCATATTCTCTGTAACTAGAAATAATGCCATGAATAGTAGTTTGAAGATGGTTTAAAGCTTCAGCAATCTCTCTTTTTTTAAACTCACATTTCCAGGCTCTAATAATTTCCCCATGTTCAAAAAAGAAAGTTCTTTTTTTTTATCAACCATATCTTATATGGGAGAGTCTTGGCAATATGTGGCAAAAAACTAGAGGTAAATTGATAATAAAATGATTGACATAACAGGCTTTAAAGGTAAACAAATAAATGATTGGTAATAACGTGGTCGGTGACTTTCTGTACATGCTGTGACGGTTATTTTTTTCTATGTATAGTTTTGTGCTACATTCTCGTTATACATGTTTATAACGAGGACCATACTAACTGTAATTATAGTTATTATTATTTTATTCTTCATGGAATCTTTAATCGACATTCTTAATCGATTTCTGAATTGGCATTCGTTCGGGAGCAAGTCATGTATCGAAAAATTTAGAACACAATCGATATAGATGCAATCCTTTTAGACTTAAGTTCCAATAGTTTACATGGACTTAATGCTTACATATGTATCCCCAATGCTCAATTGCCAACACTACCACAAGTTAGGATACTTGCTTGCATCAATGTTAAGAGAAATTTTAAAACTATAAATACGTATATTCCAATTAAATTAGTCATAAAGCAGGAAATGACTGAATATTAGCTTCTTAATTCTGCAGACGTTTCGAAGAGTTTATTAAATTATTGTTTTAATGTCGAACTGCTTCAAATACATTCTTGAAGAATGGGCTAAAAATCCATTTTTTGCAGGAATTCGGAATATCAATATTTCCAGCATAGAAATCTAATTTAGAAACAAAATCAGGATATCGTGTGACTATATTCCCATCCTTTAAATTACATAGATTTTGATTCACAATACATATAGTATGTATGATATTCCATGGAAAACTCAAATATTTTCCAATCTAATAAAAAATTATTCAAAATTCATATGCTTCAAATATGAAAACTAGTGTCTAAATCAAGCTTGGAAAAAGAATTTAAATTTTATTGTGTAGGTATTAAACAAATATGTATATATAAAATAGTACATGTATATTGAAAGGACAACGATGTATTTGGAAAACTAGTTAATAATGTCGGGAAGAAAATTTTACATAACTAATCCTATACACTTCCAAATGAAGGATTGATAATCACATATTTCCCAATTGGGTGGGGGTACATAGATACATTCGATTCAAACTACAACGATAAGAATTAGGAAATAAAAACGTCGAATCTCAAATGTCTCTGAGTGTACATTTAACTTTCATCACCGAGAAATATAATTAAAAAACCCGGTAAAAAATGACACCTGATTTGCTATTGACTTCACACTTAAAAAGATTTGATGAATTTTATAAAAATTCCAACTACATGTATTGTGATATGTCGATTATCGTTGGTGAGAATCAAAGTACTTTACGCACCTTTTCAGCTCATTCGGCAATCCTGATGGCGCAGTCGAAATATTTTGCAGTAGCACTTGCTAACGCTTGGGAGAAGCGCGAACCAAATAAGATGATTGTCGTTAAGAAACCTAACATTGAACCTCGAGTTTTTGAATTATTGCTAAGGTAATTTCACTTTAAAAATAAAATTATAAATGAAATATAATTATTAAAATTTGGCTGGCTAATTGATTTAAATTTTAATAGATATATTTATAGTGGAAAAATTGATCTACAAGATCACGGTGTTTCGACGCTTTTAGATTTATTAATTGCGGCCGACGAGATGATTCTTGAGGATCTAATTGAATATATTCAAATTTATCTTCTCGAACACCGTTCTGAATCTTTGGTAGAAAGTTTTGCCATTGTTAATCAAATCGTATTCGAACATAATTCTTTTACTAAGCTTCAGAAGTTTTGTATCGCATATCAAAATCCAACCGCTATTTTTCAATCAAGTGATTTCACCAAGCTACGCGAATCAGTTCTAATTTCTTTACTTAAACGTGACGATCTAAGTTTCAATGAAATCAACCTTTGGGAAAAGGTGCTTGAATGGGGGATCTCTCAAGTTGCAGATACGGACGAAAGTGATTTGACGATTCCACTAGAAAATTGGACACATACCGAATTTAAACAACTCAAATCGAATCTCGAAAATTGTTTACCATTGATTCGTTTCTTCCACATAAATTCGGTTGATTTTTATAATAAGGTCATGCCATATGATAAAATTTTACCAGAATCACTATATAAGGATTTATTGCATCATCATTTGGTGCCAGGAAGTGAAGAAAAAAAGGCTACCTTGCATCCAGTTCGCAAACGGACAAATATCGATTCTACAATCCTTTCACAGCACCAGACCTCTAAAATAATCGAATGGATTGAAGAGCAAAATGTAAGTCAGAAAGATAAATCAATCGAATTGAAATTATTACTTCGAGGTAGTCGTGATGGATTTTCGCCTGCTACCTTTCATAGTCTGTGTGATGAAAAAGGTCCAACAATTGTTGCCATTCGCGTAAAAGATGAGAAGAAGATTATTGGTGGTTTTAATCCGTTTGAGTGGAATTCAAATAATGAAACTCACAGCAATTTAAATAGCTTTTTATATCAATTTGATTCAAAAGATATTAAAGCTATTAATGGGGTTTTAAGTAAATATAAGGAAGGATGTAGTGTATGTTGCTATGCTGATCATGGACCAATTTTTGGAGGTGGCAATGATTTAATCTTATATCGTAGCGGTTTTAATATTTCTAATGATAATTACTGTAGCAAATCTTCCTATGAATATGGCTTGTTGGGCTCTGCTAAAACAAACTATTTTAAAGTTGCGGATTATGAAGTATTTCAAGTGGTATCAGAATAAATTATTTTTGTTTTTTTTATGTTGCTTCATTATTTATTAGGGCAATTTATATTTTAAAAACTAAGTATGAATTAATAAATAATAGACTTATTGTAAATAAAATTTGTTAAAAAAGATTTTAACGTAATTGATATGTGTGTTTCGGTAAATGGATTTCATTATAAAAAATTTAATTTGAACAAAACATTACATCATTAAAGGATATACTTTATAATCTGAGATACTCGGATATCGTGACTTTCATCCTGAAAATATTCATGTTTTGGATTTCCCCTAATTACTGGACTTAGCGTTCCAAATATATAACCAAAAACTTTGTGGAGTACTTCCTCATATCAGTCCAGAGGTGTTAAATGGAAAGTCATACACTAAAGCTGCAGATAGTTATAGCTTTGGAATGGTTGTGTCATGATATACATTTGCATCTCGTATTGGACACAACTTCCATATATAGTCATCTCATCTCAACACACCTCACAAGGTGTGACTATAGAGGGGGTACTTATAGCGAGGCTTTTTATATAATCTCATATTTATACAAATTTATATAATAATATGACATCGGCATGCTTTATATTAGCATTTACCATCATATACTCGTGGATTTCCTTTTTATCTCAACATTAATAGCAGTGCGAGTTTTTCATTTTTTGTATAAGATTAATGGTTTGCGAAGAAATAAGAAAAGTGGGGTTAATAGAGACCATAATTTACGTGGAATTGAAATTAATTTTGAAGTAAAAATTTGACTTGTATAAATTGCATTCGAATGGTTTGTTGTTTTTTGTTTATAGGAATGCTTTTTGTACAGTAGCGGTCAAAAGTATCCGACCCCTGTAACTTTTAAATTAAAGATTAATCGTCTTGAAATTTTCAGCATAGATGATATAATATAAATCTAAATCCCATAAGTTTTTTTAATACTTTATGATTATTCTAACAAAATTTAAATGAGAGCTGAATTTTAAAAACAATTTTTTACATTAATAAAAAAATATCAATCAAATGCAACAAAGAATAATTATATTAATAAATTTTAAATTAAATTTCTTAAAATTTAATATATTAAATTTTAAGCATTTTTATATAAGTAACAAAAAAATTTGACATAATTTAATAAGAAAGATATTGAGGAATTAAAATTAAATTTTATTATATATGTATATAAAAAAATAATTTAATATCAAAATTTAAAATTTAATTTTCAACAACTGGTTTATTAAATTATATTGAATTTTTGTTATTACACGTAATATAAATATATAAATTTTAATACAGTAAATTTTAATTATTTTAAAAGTTTAAAACAAAAAATTTTTAGTATAAAAAGTTATAAGGGGTCGGCTACTTTTGACCGCTACTGTAATTTATCTTCTCGTTCAATTTTTTCAATGCCTGTCTTTCTAGTTTAAGACATTTTTATATTTGTTCATTTATTTCTCGAGAACTGTAGTACTGATAATGCAAAGTATTTGTTTCCTCATAGTAGTTAGATCCAATAAAGTCTCGAAGTTACTCAGCATTTGATCTGTTGTCTGGAATCGGATTCTATTTCAATAATAAATTTGCACCAGTAATCATTATAAACAAGAAATTCACAACTGATATTGTTCCTCTTGTTTCCCGGTTTACTAAATAAATAAAAAAATGAGTACTTACGTCATCATCATCAATTAACAAAAATTTTCCATAACAAGCATAGTTCACCAGTTGTACTTTCGTTGAGTGATTTCCATAACCAGCGTAGTTCATCGTTTTCGTTGGGTGACCATAAAATTTCTGGGGCACAGGAACACTGAAGAAATTGGGAAGAACGTTCACGATGTGCTTTCAATTCCCAGGGATCAATATGGCAGATACACAATAACTCAGCGAGAGAGAAACCACACTGTGTGTTTGAATTCCACACCAGCTCCCCTTAATTCAATCTCGGATGCTCTTCCTTTGACGATAACGGAAAAAACTCCCCCTTTTAAATATCAACTTTTTTATCTCCCATAAAATAAAATTTTGCGTGGTAAAATGATTTTCAGCCAGCAAGTGTAATCATCGCCGCGTAACATCGTTATATTATGTTCACACAATATTATTACCATTATCTAGTTAGTTTCCTTAATTATGACTAGAGATGTGCCTATGCGCATTATGCGCGCATATATGCGCACACATATATGCGCATTATGCGCATAGCTACTAACCGATATCGTAAATGCCCATACACAATTATGCATATGGTTAAGTTCATAAATCATCACCAATTAAGGCATT